TCGTTGGGAAAAAGACCAAGAGCATCATCTCAATGACCAAAACATGAATTTGATCTATTTCTGGCGACTACATGGATTTTGATCAAAACATGTCAGACTCGTTATTTATGCACCAATCTCGTTGGGAAAAAAGAGCATTATCTCAATGACCAAAATTTGGATGCATTTTTGGCGACCACGTGGATTTTGACCAAAACGTGTCAAAATCGTTACTTATCCACCAAGATCGTTGGGAAAGGACCAAGAGGAATATCTCAATGACCAAAACCTGAATTTGATGCATTTTTGTTAACTATAATGTGTATTGTGTAAGTTTTCAAGTGTATTTCAGAAACCGTAAGATATAGTTCATAAGACATTAATTGTATTTCAGATTAGTAAATTAGATTTCAGAAAGTGTTAAGTGTGATTCATGATAGCAAATTGAATTTGAGAAATCATCACATGTAATTCGGATTAGTCAACTTAACTTCAGAAAGCGTCAATTGTAATGCAGATTAGTGACAGTTGTATGTCAGATAGTGTAAATTGATATTTAAGGCCCATTGTCACATAAAGGCCGATTCTCACATAAGCGACGCGTAGTAGCGCGTAGCAAGGCGTCACTGCAAGGTTCAATTCTCACATTAGCAGCGCGGCGCGGCGCGGCAAATTATCCTTTTGATGAGAGAACAAATGGCCCGGTTTAGTCCAGTTTTAATTTTTAAAGCATGGCTTAATCGAGTAGTTCACCTAGTGATCATCAAATGATTGCTTTGGCAATGTTGATGGAAGTTGAACGAGAAACTAAAGAAAGAGAAAAGAGGAAATACTAGGTGCAAAAAACTTATAAAGCGCGTTTTTCTGAAGGCGAATTGCATTTATTGAGAGTCTATTAGAATACTATAAAAGTCCGAATAGTCTTTCATAGCAACAATTATTTCTTTTAATGTACACTGAACTTTTTCTACAATTATTGTCAATAAAACGTTTTTGTGCGCATGTATGCATCACCACAGCAGCAGCAAATGCTGCTTTTCAATTCTCACATAGCAGCGCCGCCGTAGCGACGCGGCCAATGAAAGGATTCATTAGACGCGGCATACAACGCTCATGCATCGCTCTGCCGACAGTTAGATTTTGACGCGCCCCGCTGCTGCTGCAACGCGCTGCTATAGTGAGAATTATTATTATTATTCGCCATTTACAAGCACGCAAACTGCTGGAAGCAGCAAATGCTGCGCTGCGACGCGCTGCTACACGTCGCTTAAGGCCCATTCTCAAATAAGCGACGCGTATAGTCCGGGAGCCAGCTGCCATTTTTCATGACCAATAATAAGAAAGCTGAAATTTTGTAGTATGGTTCATTTAGTATTGCTAATAAACGTAGTGAACGTCAGCTGGCCCAGTAGCGGTGGGTGTAGTCGCGGCAGTCATCCGAAGATGTATAATTATGATGAACAAAAGAAAGCTGAGATTTGGTTTGTAGGTTGATTACTATCTAAATTAACGGAAAAAAGTAGTCAGCTGACTGTTTGGTGGTGGGTTGTACATCAGCTTCACGTCTTAACATGCGAAAAATGTTTAGGTAGGTATTTTATTTTATTTTCTAAGTTTTTTATTTACCAAACGTTACAAAATTCTCTTATTTATTATTCTCCTTGGTTACCTCATCACTCTGGTTACGTCGTTATTTCGTTACCGCCACAGGAGCCCCCCGCGGAAACCGGAGGTTAGGGTTGACGGAATCGTACAGAACGACCAGAACGAGTCACATAACTAGGTCGTTGGTTTTCGACATTTGGAGAAGCTGAGAGCTGTGCAGGTAAAGGAGACTCGGTATCAAGGAGATAAGCAGGTTTTACTCGATCGATGCTCACACGGATGTCCTTGTTGTTGTAAGAGATGGTGACGGTCTTAGCATCTCTGCAAACGACTGCATATGGACCACTGTACGGGGTTTGCAAGGGCCGCTTAACGGTGTCGTCACGTAAAAATACGTGTGTACAAGTCGCTAGATCTTGGAAAACGAAGGTTTTTGGATTCGCATGACGAGATGCAGGTACAGGCCGTAAATCAGCCATACGTTGTCGCAGGCGAACGACGTAGCTTGCGGCATCTTCTTGACGCTCGGGAAAATCGGAATAAACCAAAAATTCGCCGGGCAATCGAAGTGTTTGTCCGTAAACAAGCTCGGCTGGGGAAACTCGGAGGCCCTCTTTGACAACGCTAAGGATTCCAAGTAAAACAATGGGTAGCGCCTCAAGCCAGGAAGCTCCGCGGTGGCACATGAGCGCTGCTTTCAATTGTCTATGAAATCTTTCAACTAGGCCATTTGATGCTGGGTGGTAACTGCAGATGCGTGATCGTTCTGTACCAAAAACAATGTTGAGGGCACGAAAGAGGGCAGATTCAAATTGTCTTCCCTGATCCGTGGTGATCCTCGTAGGGGAACCAAAACGAGATATCCAACAGTTCACAAAAGCTTCAGCGACTTCTTCAGCGGTAATAGACTTGAGAGGGTACACTTCAGGCCATTTTGTATACCTATCTACAGCTGTCAAGCAATAGCGATAGGGTCCTGCAGGTGGAAGAGGGCCTATTATATCAATGTGTACATGCATAAATCGATTAGAAGGCAGGTCGAAGTTCCCAAGTGGTGCATGGTTGTGCCTTGATATTTTGGCGCGTTGACATTTTTGGCAAGCTCGAGCCCAGGTACGGCAATCTTTCTGGACTAGAGGCCATACGAAACGTTGGGAAACCAGCTTCGCCGATGTTCTGGCACCAGGATGGCTGAGGTTGTGTAGAGAATCGAACACTGAATGTCGCAGTGACACTGGAATGTAAGGTCTATGAATCCGCGTTGATGTGTCGCAATAAAGTTGAATATCTGAACCGGGAACTTTAATCAACTGGAGTCTGATGGATGTGTTACTTGCCAGAAGCTCTTGAAGTTCATTGTCTTCTTTTTGATGACGAGCAAGTGTACTCAAATCAACTGCAGGAGCTCCAACGGCAGATAAAGAGTCAACGCGAAATAGCGCATCAGCGACAATGTTGGCGGAGCCATCAATGTGTCGTATATCTGTGGTAAATTGGGCGATGAAAGTTAGTTAATTCTGTTGTACTGGAGGTAACTTTTCTCTGCGTTGATTCATGGCGTAGATCAGCGGTTTATGATCGGTGAAAATCGTACAATTCTGGGCTTCAAGAATGTGACGAAAGTGTCGTACGGCGGCGTAAACAGCGAAAAGTTCTCGATAGTAAACTGGCCACTGATTGACGTTTTGTAAGCTTTTGGAAAAAGAAAGCTAACAGTTGCCAGGAATCGTTGACACGCTGCTGAAAAGCAGCTCCAATAGAAGTGCTAGAGGCGTCACAGAAGAGAGCGAGTTGAGCATCGTGATTGGGGTGTGCAAGAAGCGTAGCATGCTCAAGATTTTCCTTGCAAGCTTTGAATGCGTTGTCCATGTCCGTTATCCAGTTCACGATCTGATTACCGCGAAGTGTAGACAAGGCAGCGTGGATTGGAGCTTGATGCTTTGCCGCAGAAGGAAGAAATTGTCGATAAAAATTAATCATACCTAAGAAACGACGTAATGCTTTTGCGTTGTTTGGCCGGGTAAAATTTCGAAGAGCTTCAATGCGGTCCGGGTGAGGTTTGATGCCAGCCACAGATACTTCATAACCCAAAAACGTTACGGTCGACGAGTTGCCAACAGTCTTTGAAGCGTTTACCAGCAGACCATAGTCGGAGAGGCGTTTAAAAATAGTGCGAAGGTGATCTTCATGTTCCGCGGCATCTTGGGAGAAAACTAATATGTCGTCTATGTATGGAAAACAAAATTCCAGGCCACAGAGAACTTCGTCTATAAATCGTTGAAACTTCTGTCCGGCGTTACGCAAACCAAAATGGAAATTCATATAAGCCAAATGGTGTTGTTATAGCAGTGTTTGGAATGTCGTCGGGGTTTACAGGAATTTGGGTATATGCCTTCACTAAATCAATGACGGAGAATGTTGTGCTTCCACGAAGACGATACGTAAAGTCGTGGATGTGACGTACGGGATAGCTGTCTGGTACAGTCCTAGCATTAAGAGCGCGGTAGTCACCGTAGGGTCTCCAACCATCCGTCTTCTTTGGAACCATGTGAAGGGGAGAAGACCAGGGTCCTCCGGAACGACGAGCAGTCCCTTCGCGTATCATGTTTTCGAATTCATTCTTGGCAATCACCAATCGATCAGGAGCAAGACGTCGAGGACGACAGACGACAGGAGGTCCAGGGGTGGTTTTAATAAAATGCACTGTAGAGTGTCGGACTTCTCTGAGTGTACCAGCTACAGCTGGTCGAACAAGCGTAGGGAATTCGGCTAATATAGAGTGACTATGCGAATCAGAAATAATTGTCTTGACACTAAGCTGGATAATATTTGACCACTTACACGAAATTGAGAAATTAGTAATGCTGTCGATAAGGCGCTGATGGCGACAATCTGGTAGAAGTCCAAAATGTGCTAGGATGTCTGATCCAATTATAGGGGTGTTGACGTCGGCGATTACGAAATTCCATATAAATGCACGTCGAAGTCCAAGATCAAGATTGAGAGAAATTATTCCATATGTGTGAATTGTGGAGTTGTTGGCAGCGCGTAGTTCGTAACTGACTCGACAACGACGATCCGGTAGTAATTTTCGCGGAAAACAACATATATCTGATCCAGTGTCCAGCAGAAATTTAATTCCTAACTTACGATCAACAACTAGAAAGCGGCTTCCTCCAGTTGAACAGCCGGCTGCCGCCATTACTGACTGCCGGTGGAGTTTGTTGAATTGAAATAACAGGGTTTCGTGCACTTGTTGGCTTGGTCACCGAATCGTCGATGGTACCAGCAAATAATTGTTGATGAATTTGTGGCTGACGGAGAACGATGTCGATTTTGACGGTTAGTTGAGGGGGTATTACTCCGAGATCGCATAACTGAGATCTGTCGGAAAAGTTCGTCCAAACGCTGAGAAATTAGGTACCAGGTGTAATGGAAGCAGCGTGCACTTCTGCGGAATTAGAAGCAGTGTTAAAGGTCGTACCAGGCTGAATCTCTATGATCTTGTCCGCTGTAACGGCGAGCGTGTCGGTAGTAAGACCGGTTTGACCGATTTGAGGTTGTAACATGGCTTGAACGTGCGCAGGAAGGCGTTGCATCCAAATGGTGCGGAGAAGGTTGTCTTGACCAGTGGTACTGCCGACTAGAGATCGCAAATGACGGAGAAATTGAGAAGGAGTACGGTCACAGAGTTCTTCTTCGACAAGGAGTTGTCGTACACGACGCTCTTCTGAGACGGACAGACGACGTATTATTTCAGTCTTGAGGGTGGTGTATGGATTATCAGCAGGAGGAGTGGTGATCAAATCCTCGACTTCATTTGCGTACCGCTCATCCAAATGCGATATCACATAGGAGTATTTAGTAGACTCCTGAGTGGCACGTGCAAGCGTAAATTGTGCTTCAACTTGGGCAAACCAGAGGTTCGGTTTTCCTTCCAAAAAGGAGGTAATTTTACACTCACCCGGTTAACTTCCAATGGCAACGCCGGTTGTTCATTCTGATGATGTTGCTGTTCCTGCATTTGACGAAGTTGTTGCTGCAGTGCTTCATTTTGGTGCTGGAGTTGTACCAATTGTGTCTGTAGAAACTCCATGGTTCGTGAAATATATCCGTAAGGAAAATCTTTCACCAAATACGACAGGTAAAAGTCACCGTGACACGCACAAATATAAAAAAAATATAAATTAACAATTTAAACGCAGAACTACACAAACATAATGCGGATCACGTCGGAGTCACCAATGTGGGTTTTAGCGAAACTGAAGAAATATTCGTAGACAAATGTTAAAAGTAGCTAAGTTTTTTATTTACCAAACGTTACAAAATTCTCTTATTTATTATTCTCCTTGGTTACCTCATCACTCTGGTTACGTCGTTATTTCGTTAAGCGCGGTTTAGACGCTACGATCTTGGCTTCGATAAATCGTAACGATCTGATTGTCCAATTTATCGTTCAATAAATCGAAAGAGTGCGTATACTGTTTACATGTAACGATTTCTTGTTCCAATCTCATTGTCGATCACGGTTTAATACAGTTTTTATTTTTTTACTTTTCAACTTGTCTTTTGGTTCTAATATAAATTACACTCGCATTTTATTGCTTACATTGCTTGCTTACAATAGACTCTTAATCTCGATTATGATTTATGAGTAGCCATGTGTCGCTAAATATTTTTTTTGGGTGCCCAAACTTGATCGCAACTCGCCAAATGTAAAACGTGTACGCTAGAGACAGTCTAAGTAGCCCAAATGGATACAAAAATGGTTCACGTCGGCAACATTAATCACAAATCGTAGCGATAAATCGCTGTTATTGTTTACACGTTCCAATTTATCGCTACGATTCGCAAAAATTGAAGCCGGCCGCCATCAACCTTCCAATACAATTCCAATTCCGATACATCGCTACAATCCTCTGTTCACACGCAACGATAAATCGTAACGATTCGATCGTTACGATAAATTGTTACAAATTATCGTAGCGTCTAAACCGCGCTTTACCGCCACATACCTAAACATTTTTCGCATGTTAAGACGTGGTGAAGCTGATGTACAACCCACCACCAAACAGTCAGCTGACTACTTTTTTCCGTTTATTTAGATAGTAATTAACCTACAAACGTTCACTACGTTTATTAGCAATACTAAATGAACCATACTACAAAATTTCAGCTTTCTTATTATTGGTCATGAAAAATGGCAGCTGGCTCCCGGACTATACGCGTCGCTTATGTGAGAATGGGCCTTAAGCGACGTGTAGCAGCGCGTCGCAGCGCAGCATTTGCTGCTTCCAGAAGTTTGCGTGCTTGTAAATGGCGTATAATAATAATTCTCACTATAGCAGCGCGTTGCAGCAGCAGCGGGGCGCTGCTATGTGAGAATTGAAAAGCAGCATTTGCTGCTGCCGTGGTGATGCATACATGCTTTTCATTACTAGCGTCTGATGACATGATTATTAACCTTTTTTCCACTTGTAAAGTAGGCTTTCTCGGCATTTGTTCAAAGTGGTTAATAATGTGGACATTATTAACTAGTAGTCAATAATGAGAACTGTCACGCTGTCACTGTTAGAAAACACAACCCGAAATTTCGCTCAATAAACGTTTGGACAAGGTCTCTAAAATGAATACTTGCCACCATCCGCCATTTCCAGAGAAATTACATACCTAAAATTAACACATTTTGAAAAAAATCGAACGAAATTTCTCTTTAAAAACATCTCAATGACAGAACAAAATACGGCCTGTTTGACTTGTACTTCTACGTACTTGATTGACATGTTAAATTAAGAAACAAAAAATTCTGTCCAACCGTTCACTTTCTTATCAATATAATATGTTAATTTAGAGTATTTCAAGTGTTAGTAGTGAAAAAAATAGTATATATACTGAGATGTCTATATCCCTTTAAATACCCTGTACATTTCAACGTCGGATGCAACCGGTCAAGTAGTTGGAGATTCTGGGGACATGAGCCACCGCCATCACCACCTGTCGATATTTTTTTGGTAGCTTCCGGAGGATGTTTGGGGTTTTTTTTTTGGTGGGCTTGGCGTCACATGATCACTTGTTGTTTGTTAAAGCTTGTTGGTGGTGGGCTTATTGTATTTTAAGTTGTATAAATAGTTTAGCTTTGTTTTTGGTGTTTGTGAGTACAATCACTTTGGTGTCGGGTAAAGTATTTTATGTAGTTTACTCTTATGTACTTATATGAATTGTGCCATTTGTTAAATCAGATATTTTCCAACCACCATTGTGCTAATACGTAATTTACAACATGCAAGGTGTTAACTATATCCATGTGCTTGTGGAAGTCTACAATATCTCAGGTTTAGGCCACGTTTACTCAGTTACACGGTGCAGGGGGGCGTACCTATGTCGAACCTCGACTTCCGTGAAGTAGGGCATGCAATGCTAGTTGTATTTATAGTTTAGGGTGACTCGTAACATTCGCGAATGTGTGTGCCTTGTTGTATGTAACTAATACCTTTCTACCGTGAGAGGGAGCTCGGACGCTAGAATAGAAAGGTGTTCTAGAGCTAAGGCATAAAGGGTCCGAGGGCCCTCGAACCTCCAACTCTAGGGATGATGTGCTGTAACAAAGACCATCCTACACATGGGCGGCGCCCCATCTCTTAACCACCTTCAGTTTTGTGTCGTTACGAGACCGATGTCCGGGGAGTGTTACGAAGCACATGTAGTAGTTCCGGAAGTCTGGGTTTTATACCAATGTCATTGTGTGGAAACTGAGCATAATTGAGGGCCCCACAGGCACACTGAGTATGGTCATAACTGCCTATTGTTAAGTCACAACATGAATAATAGATCAGACGTGTTCTTACAAACTTCACACCATCCTATTCGATATACAATGATACGAATAACTAGTAAGGTGACTTATATCAATAAATGCGTGAGTGTGTTGCCCCTAACAATCTTAACTGCGCTACGGGCTGATAGGCAAATATGCCGGCCCAATTCCTAACAATATAACCGTGAAACAGGAGGGCAATCAAGCTGAGACGCTGGCCCTAACCTAACAAATAACCAGGTTCACTGTCCAATGACTAACTAAAAGTGAGTTACCTTCTAGCCGCGATTAAAGAAAAGTACATGACATGTTGTGACGAATACTCTACACATACTGTTCAAACGTACCCTGCTACTCGAATTCATTAATTAATTAAGGTAGTGTTACATGTTCTGCTTAGGTGGTTGGTGTTTTAATTTGCTTGTGATTAACATAGTTTGGGTTTTATTCACGGCCAAGGTTTTTCTCAAGTCGCACTCTTTTTCGCCTTGGTAGTCTGCTTTTGCGAGAGTGCGGCACCTTTAGGTTTTGCTTGCTTTGCTTTTAATGTACCACATCCAAATTCCGGGTTTTTCAGAATAAGTTTATAATAAATAAACTCGCAGACATTACAGTGTTTTATTTGAGTGTTCCTGCCCGACTGGGTCCCGAGTCACTGTATTGGCTTCGTGTAACGTAAGGGGGCCCTACCGTAGGCGATCCAATCACGTGCCATCCTTTTGTTTGACTTTTAGGCGGGAACCGTGCTTTGATACTGGGATTGCAACGTTGCCACTTTTCCGTGAAATCTGTCATTTCCATTTCGAGCCTGGGGTGGGTTAAGATCAGTACAATACCACGGTAGAGAAGTCTATTATTGCCTTCGCACCTTACACCCCTCGGCGCAAGCGCCTCGGGATGTAATCTTGGAGCTCAGGCAATAATACTGTACTTCTCTACCTTGATATATAATGTACTATTATTGACAAATGACAATAATTGTAGAAAAAGTCCAGTGTAAATTAAAAGAAATAATTGTTGCTATGAAAGACCATTCGGACTTTTATGGTAATTTAATAGACTCTGAATAAATGGAATTCGCACCCAGTATTTCCTCTTTTTTCTTTTTTTAGTTTCTCGTTCAACTTCCATCGCCATTGCAAAGCAATCATATGATGATCACTAGGTGATCCACTTGATGAAGCCATGCTTTAAAACTGAACTGAATCGGGCCGTTTGTTCTCTCACCAAAAGGATAATTTGTCGCGCTGCGCCGCGCTGATTATGTGAGAATTGATCCTTGCAGTGACGCGCTGCGACGCGCCGCTACGCGCTGCTACGCGTCGCTTATGTGAGAATCGGCCTTTAGAGTCCATTTTTGTAATTGAGAATTGATTAATATTGTAATTCAGTTTTCGTTATTTTCCTTTAAAAATTAAATTATCAGAATCCTCTGGATGTAATTTTATTGACGTCAAGGTATGTACATCTGTACCTACAAGTACGAGTAAGTGATTTGATCTGATCTGAATTACAATCGATATTTTCTGAATTACATTTTACATTTCCCGAAATTGAAATAACAGTTCTGAATTACATGCCATGACTTCTGAAATACACTTTAAAAAGGTGTAGTTGTCGAAATTTACTCAAACCTCGTAAAAAAAGTTTATAGTGCAATACTTTTCTTCATTGTATCATTTTGTAATTTAATTTACTCTTGAACTCAAATATGACAACGGGCAAATGCTGAAGTACTCACATCGAAAGATTGTACAAAACGTCGCGAACAATTTTAATTAATTGGTAAAACACTAAGAAACGACATTTACTCATTAGAATTTGGCAATGTACAATAAAAATATCATTAATCTACTAAATTAGACTTTAGTAGAGGATTTGTAAGTGATAGATCGCCGAATTATGCAAACCGTTGGGGTAGGAGATGTCCTTAAGACGTAAACACATTCTTAGCTATAAAAAGGAATCAGAAGATTTAAAGTGTATCAGAAACAATGAAGCAGCCTTGTGCAACATGTACCGTCTTAGTGGCTATAGTAATTATGGCGGTTTCACAAGTACATACCGAGGTGAGCATAGAGCGACTTAGTATAGTAAATGTTAAGTATAGGTATATACTTACATAGGTCTCCCAGAAATTGATGAATTTTCCTGCGGATAATGAACAAGTAGAAACTATGATTGAAGCTACTCAAGAACACCCATGGGCGATTTTCACTTTTGGTAGTAATTAATATAAATATAGTGTAATGTAGCGTCACTAATGAAAGTTTTATAGGAGGAAAGAAGAGAAGTGTGAGTTTTATACCTCGCCTTGGCAGAGAATTAGGTGACGAGAACATGGAAAAATGGTTTAGAGATGGTGAAATGAAAACAGAGCGATCATCGCCATTTGTTCCTCGTCTAGGCAGAGAAAGTTTAATTCAAAAACCTTACTTTGTTCCTCGTTTAGGCAAAAGAGAAGAGTAACAGAAATTCAAAATTTTAAAAATGTGCTGTTTTACTGTAGAGTTATAAAATTAATGATAAGGTACATACAGCTGTAGATATTTTTTAGTTTCCAGTATGTATTATGATACCACATGTTTCAGAATCAATTTGAAATCTATGTTTAAATATTTTCCACGTGTCCAAACCGAGTTTATTCTGTATTTTTAGCGCATTTTTTAAGAATTAAAAAAAATGTGAGTAGGGAGCCTATACCTTGAAGGTGTGCCAGACGGCCATCAAATCTCGCTCTCCAAAAGGCCCCCCCCCCCACGAATTATTTCCTGAGATGCTGTTTTTGAAAGTAAAACGTGCATAGCTTTTACATACGACAACCAACTGGTCTCAGATTTTGCATAATAAAATGCGCTTTATCTGCACAAGAGTTGTGCACAATTTATACTTGTTTGTCATTTCGATTGATTGTCCTGAGTAAATATACCAATGCTTTAGCGTAAGAATTTAAATATTTACTGACTACTTAGTCATAACTCATAATCTACATAGAAACTAAATAGCCAACTTTATATCCACCCATCTACCTTACAGAGTATTACTACCTACAAAAGTCAATATATCAAGACCTCGCGATCCCCAGTAACCAGATGTATGGCTGCAATGTCTCAACGAAGACATTTCAATAAATAAAATTTTCTATAATTCTATTATTTCTCTTCTTGCTATATCGGCCAAGTAAATCGCTGCCATTCCGCGAGTGCAATAAATTGCAATTTAACTGGCTTGCATTTAGGAGCAACGGTAACTCTTCTTTCCCAAAAAGACATTTTCATATTCATGAAATGATTATTATATTTCAATAAAGAACGTAAGATTCTTGGAACTGTCCGAGACTTAGCCATTGAATAAAACTTAGCTGAGCTAAATTAATTGGCCGAATGGTGAACTCTTACTTTTACTCATTTCTCAAATGTACGCAGACCATATGCCTAAACCGATCGGATGGTTAGTTATTTAACTTTCTTTGAAATTGTTACAAAATATACTGTTTCGCATAATACTAGGGACTAGGATCAGGAATTAGCCACACACTCGGTTACCTATTGCATAATAATTTAATTAAACATTCAAATTGAACTTCAGCACGACCACGCTTTTCGAGACGAGACCAAGGTTCAGTCTCGTCTCGTCTCGTCTCGACGAGACTAACCATTAGTCTCGGCGAGAGTCTCTCGTTTGGTCTCGAAGTTTCTTTTTGTATTTATTTGTACTGTTTTTTAAATTTTATCCATTGAAGTAGCACGAATTCCAATTGTTTACATAAACCGTTCCTGACCTTCCTGATTTAGGACTTAATTACCATAGGTCTTATACAACAGTTCCAGGAAGCTGTAGCGGAACACCCTTATGGGTGCAGGGCTGGTTTCGGTTCGTCGGCAATGGGAGGGAAAATAAAACCCACGTATGCTGGTTGTAGTTTATGTCGAGAAACGCTTAACGAATAAACACAAAAATAATTAGGCGAAACTACAATAATTATAAAATTGTTCGTGCAGCGAAATCAACACTTAGGAATACAATGGCCCCATAATCGATAGGTGAACGAAAGTAAGGGGTTATCTTACACATAGATTTCGAGTTTGAACGTTTAGTTTTGCGCAACGACCTCTCTAGGTTAAGTTACGTACAATTGGTGTAATGTTGAAAAGAATTCTTTAAATTTGGCGCGTTCCACTATAAAGCCTTCGACAGCTTTATTTTATTTTATTGGCGGGCGGACAATTGATCTATAAAACCTGTACCCTCATCAATAGGGCAGTATACCTGACTGAAATAATGGTAATTGTCATTGTCTATGCGGGAAAAACAAGATTCTCGCGGATTCCTTTATATTAAAAGCCCTTAATGCATTGTCACAGTTTATGGCATTAAATCCAATCGTTTCTAGGTAGGTATAGGTGCAGTGACTCAATTTAGAAACAACCGGGTATCTTATTTTTGATTGGTAGTTCCTTCTGATCGCCATATTGAGCCTCAAATGCTATAGGTACTTTAGGTATGAGCATTGAATAATAAATCTGATTTATTATTCAATGGTATGAGTTTACACTTTTCCTTGTGTTCTTGCGAAATTCTGTGAATAAAGGCACTGCTTAAGGTAAAATGTATATTGTGAACATATGACATAAATCCAAATACAGTTACTGTATGTATAGGTACCTACTTACATATTTACCGCGTAGCCAAGACCATTAAAGTAAGATGTTACAAAATAAATGGGACAGATTATCTTTAAGTATTTAGAATTCAGTGAGACTTTCCTACCTAGTTACATTACCAGATACATTTTATGAAAGCTAATATTTTTTAGCTGCAGAATGGAAAGGAAAATCCTTAAAATACGCATAATTATGTTTCGAATAAGAAGATAAGGAAGGTCATTATTATTTGTCATGCCTTCGTGGTGCCTTTTATACAGTGAATTTTTTTTAAATGCGAACATAGGAGTTTGAATGCAATGTAATTTCCCTATGTTCGATTTAAAAAAAAACACATCAATCTATTGAGTAGTTCAAATGAGTAGTAGATACAATTGACAGCTGTCACATTTTTTAAAATACCGCCGTCCAATTTAATTACGAAATCGGTTAGGTTATTGCTTAGAATGTCAAGGAGGACACTTCGAACATTTTATTGTAATTGTTTTCGGTATTTATTTTCTTATTTTCTTCATTTATGTATTGAATAGATCAAATTAGTAGAATATCAGGTGCACATGACCTACAAATAATTGAAGGTTGGTTCACAATGAGTTGTGGTGTCAGTACGTGGCCTGTGAGGCCAAGTTATCGTAAGTTTAAGAAAAATGTATCCTAAAGTTGCTATGGGCTCACATGGCTTCTTTAAAAAAATCTTACCGAGTGCTCTTCATCATAAAAACTATTAAGAGTTGGTGTTCATAGTCACAGAAGTTGCGCGATTTGGGAATGTGAACCGCGCACACCTCATAGATTGATGTGTTTTTTTTAAAATCGAACATAGGGAAATTACATTGCATGCAAACTCCTATGTTCGCATTTAAAAAAAACTCACTGTATGTTCTACACCATTTTTGGACAGTATGGCGAGACCACGCGAGACCAAACGAGACTAGACGAGACGAGACGAGACTGAACCAGGGCGAGACGAGACCTACGAAAGTCTCGTCTCGTCTCGCGGCAACACTACCACACGCCACCATTTCTCAGTCGCATTGAACTGTAGAGTATACTGGAAGGGCATCGATAACCAAAATCGTGTGTCCCCTTACGCCCGGTGCACATGACCTGCGAGGCAATCGGGACACTGAGATCAGAAATACGTTGGGAGTAACGGAGCAGGATAGGTATCGGCGGCCAATATGCATTGCCCCATTACTCCCAACGGATTTCTGACTATACTTATCATGATAGATCCAGATTACTTTGCAGCTCATATGCACCGGGCCTAACGTAGGCTGTGGTAGGTAACCTCATCCTTGTCTGGCACGCTGTTTGTATAATCATCCTTGTCTGGCGCAGTTTTGTAAAACGCATAAACGGCACACATGAGTGAAAGATGCTTTCTCCTTCGTCAGCTGACTTACCTGGGCTGTTGTCGTGAATCGATCGCCACTACCCGCGATGGTGCTCAACCCGCAAATGTTACTTGGAAGAACCTCCGTAATAACCAAGGGTTCTCTATACTTTGCTTGGGTTTTGGTACTCTCTTCAGTAGACATTTTAACTCTTCCCAACATTATAAAATCGCCTACACTACATCATAGTTCACTCCCCAAAATTTCTTGCCATCCTAACGTGTTTTGTATTTTGCATGCCCGCAAACTATGGTCTTACGTACTTCACGCTGTTGACGCTTAAAGACTCGGGTGGTATGCACTCGATATCTTCAACTTCCAAGTAGGCTGCCAGTCATATAATTTTGGGAGGTAGCCATGCAGTACTTCAAATGGTGACCTTCCGGTAGTTTTACTTTGGTTCCATGTACCTGCATAAGTTTTTGTACTTGGTAGCGCAAATAATTTAATGAATTTGGTTAATCCGTCGATTACCACCAATAGATACCTAAATTACCACGTTCACTGTTAATAAAAAATCTAATAGGCGGGAATTTTACTCATCAAACACTCCGCACAAATGTTAATATGCTGTGCGTATCGTTTCATTTTGGGATACCAATAGAGTCCCCTTATACTTGTACAGATACGATCGACTCCGCCAGGTCTCAATAGGTCATGACTTCACAACGATGCTTTTTCGCAAAGAGCGCGGTATCACTTATAGTAATTTATCCCGTCGATTTCCCCTGCACTCACGGTATAGCGTTAAGTTTTTAAATTTGATTTTTATGCCAATACAGAGTAAATACCACATAATGTGGTTTGTCTGTGGTTTATTGTCTGTACATTCCACTTGCTGTGTTTTGGGATAGTATTTTGAATTATGTTGCTGCAGATAGGTACTGGGTTTTGACAAAAATTATTTCCGTAATGGTAATAGATAGAGCTATCTTGGTTAGCTAAAAACATGCAGAATTAATACAGTATCTACATGGAAGTGATAACTCATTTTCGAAAAAAATGTTGGTTACTGTGTTTTGGAATGGGACAGCCGCGCTGCCTTCCGCCATTTTGCTTGACGTTTCATGAATTACACTTTAATTTCGTCCTGACGTTCTATATCCTACTTCTGAATATTGTTAGCTTCCTTTTCGAGAAACAAGAATCAGGAATTAGCGACAAACTCGGTTATTTCATAAAGATTTAACATTCAGATTGAACTTCAGCATGACCACTCCACCATTACACAGTCGTAACCTACGACTAAAAAATAAAAGGAGAGAACCTTGCATTAAAAGGGGACGAGACGGAAATGGACAAAAAGGAAGTTATAAGAGTGCGAGAAGAGTGGGGAGAAACGCGTCATTATTGGCAGTGGTGTAATAAAACAAAACTGACATCGTCTCTTCTGTTTTATGATAAGTCAAGTCGACATAACTGACCAGCGAAAAGGAAGTGATATGATGACGACTTCCGTCGCGTGTTATGCTATTTCCCACCATCGTTATATTCTCTCCTGTTATTTTTTACTCGTAGGTCGTAACTCTCTTGCCAACGTAAAATCTGAACAGAACCACAATACAAGAGAACTAGAATTCTAACTAAAATAAACCATAGATCCTATCAAAGACAAAG